CAAACTCTTGAAGTGTCATCATGTTCGAGTTATTATATTGGTCATCATCATCTTCTTCTTCATTGGAGGCTTCATTAATTAGGGTTGTACTTGTACATGTACTTGTACTTGTAGATACTCTTTCTTTCCTCCTTAAAGTACTTCCCCTAAAACCATAGACATTCTCTTCAACTCCACTTGCCATAGCAACATGACCAAAAGTGAGACCTTCTCCTTCAAACACTTCATCTTCTTCATGATTTTTGGGGCCTCCGGTTAACCATTTATTTGCTTCATCAATGTTATCCAATAAAATTGGATCAATGATATTGCGAGCTTTGTAACGACGAGCCAATGTTCTATTATATTTTACGAACACGAGATCATTGAGTTTCTTTAGCTCAAGCCTGTTCCTCTTCTTAGTATGAATCTGCATAATAAGATGTGGAAAGTAATTAAGAGGAGTACTTAGGATAATTGAGATAAACTTTAATTTAGTAATAATGTAATATAGCTTCTCACATGTTCATAAACACTCCAATTTCTCTCGCATCCGGATGAGCTACAAGTTAAGCTTTGAACGCTAATAACAAATTGTTGCAAGTTTGGAACTTCATAACCAAATTGCATCCACCATTCAACTGTAGAAGTATTATTTTAGAAGTTAATAACTTAAAAGTTAAAGCTCTTAAGAGTAAAACAATTGAAAAAACTTGCTCACCTGGTGCCAATTTGGTTCTGCCTCTAATGGCCGAAGCTAATCCAAGAATTCCATCGGCTTGCATATACACACCAAGCTCTTGCCCTATTTTGTCTTGCATCGCTTCATCTGGCACCAACTTCGCAACACATGCATGATACCCCTTCCAAACGTCTAAATCTAAAGTCTTGTTCTCATTGTTTGTGTAAAACAATTCGGGGTTCAAAATATGCCCTGCTGCATGTAAAGGTTGGTGAAGCTGATCATCCCACCTTTTATCAATGATTTCAAACACTCTCTCGTATTTCCTCCTATCATGATCTAATGCCTTCTCAATAGCTTCTTTAGTCCTATCCATGGCTTCATAAATGTATCCATTGGTGGTTTTTTCTCTCCATCCACCAAACGAAGTACAATAACCAAAGGATTACCAACTTTAAGTGCATGAATAGTGTCATTCCAAAAATATGGACCAATAATAAATCTCGCAACTTCTTTCCCAAGAGCTTCATTTGCATAGATACTCTCACTCCATTCGGTTGACAAGAACAAGGTTCGCAAATTTTGCTTTTGCAGGTAAAAGCTATGCAAGGTCAAGATAGCTGTTCCGAATCTTGTCTTAGCCGGTCTTAGCCGGTTTCACCAAATTTCTTTGTTTTGTGTATCTCCTCATCATGTTCAACAACAACGACCTTTGACTAATGTAAGAATGTATCTTGATCGCCTTAGAAAAAATTGTAGGAAGTCAAATTTCATAGTTAAGTATAAGCAATTAACATGAAGGTTAAAAACTTAAAATAGAAAATAAGAACCACTTGTTCACCTGTAGAATATGGGGCTAACTTGAAAGTGTCACCAAACATCAGGTTGATACAATGTGCAGCACAAGGAGTCCAAAAAATATTTGGGAAAACTTCTTTCAACATGTCACCCACTTTTTTATTCCCACTTGCGTTATCAGTAACAACTTGAACCACATTTTCCGGTCCAACTTTCAATATTGTCTTCTCAAACAAGTTGAACATTTTATTGGAATCGGTTGAGGAGTCACTAGCATCATAAGATTCAAGAAACACACTACCTCTCGGAGAATTCACCAAAACATTAATGACCATTTTTCCATTTTTTGCAGTCCATTTGTCCATCATAATGGAACAACCATATATTTTCCATTGCGCCTTATGCTCCTCAACATTCTTGTTTGTCTTCTCCACCTCCTTTTTTAGACAAGGAACTCTTACTTCGTGATAGGTAGGGGGCTTCATTCCTGGGCCATATTGGCCTACGACCTCAATGAATTTACCAAAACTATCGGTGTAATTCACACAATTAAAAGGTAGCCCCGCATCATACATCCACCTTGCAAAAGCATCTACAGTGCGCTCCCTTAAATTCTTCCTACAAGAATCTAAGTCAATAGCTTCACCCTTTCTCTTTTCATTTGGTTTTTGTGAGAAAAAAAGATTAAGAGGACCTTTCACATTGCTACCGGCGGTGGATGATCCACTTCCACTTATTGAATTCTTTCTTTGAGATTTAGAGGGAGGTGGCCTCATTATATCATTGACTTCAAGGTCATCCTCATCCATTTGACTATCTTCATCAATAAGATTAATCATAGATGCTCCATGGCTCATTGGATTTTTTAACTCATTTTTTTTCTCAACATACTCTCTAATTTCTTTATTAATAGTATCCGGAACACTTGGACAATCTTTGACATCTCTAAAACCACCGATTAGATGTCTGTTGTGACGATGTATTCCACCGTTATAAATTTTTTGACAAAAGATACATTGCACTCTTGTGTTACTATTGCCAACTGCAACTCCATACGCCCAAGCTGGATCTCTTTTTTTTTGGCTTGATGCCATTGAATAATAAAATTAAATTTACTACTATCAACAACCAAAAAAAAAAAACCATAACAGTTAATTTTGACGAACCAGAATAGTGAGCGCTAGCAGAAAAACAGAGCAGAAAACAGAAAAACAGAAAACAGAGCATAAACCAGAAAACAGAGCATAGTTTTAGGGCACAAAAAGAGCAATAAACCAGAGAACAAAGAGTAATTTTAGGGCACAAATCAGCGCTTAAAATCTGAAAAATTTGAAAGAAGAAGAGAAAAATAGGGCGGAAGAACAGTCATAAATTAGATGTGTAGAACAGAGCAATAGAAAGTGAAAAAAATAGAAAGAAAAAGAGAAAAAAAGGAGTCGAACAGAAGAAGAAGAAGAAGTCGTTGGAGCAGCAGTCGTCGCTGGAGTTGGAGCAGCAGAAGAGCGTATGTTTATTTGTTAACAGATGGTTTATTTGCCAAAAGTTTTTAAAAAAACCCTAGCAGTTGCCTTCACGTCGCTTAAGCATGCTTTTTTGCGCCTTTTCCATTGAGGCGCTTCTCGCTTAAGCGGTTAAAGCGTGCGCTTTTTAAATGTGAGTCGCTTTTGTAGCAGAAAAGCGCTAGCCCAGCGCCTCGCGTCGCTTCAGCGCTTAAAGCGTGAAGCGAGTGCTTTTAATAACACTGCGACCACCTCCACCACCACATAACATACCAATGCTATCACCACGTCTACCACTTCGATATCCACCACTTCAACCACAAAGAACAAGATATATTGAGCAAGTTGAAGCTGACCAAGGCGTAAGAGTACCAAGGTCCCATGCCGAATATGATAAATATACAAATAATCAAGGGCATGAAGAGGACGACACTGAAAAAGACCATTATCAAAGAGATGAGGAACATGCATTGGATCCACAAGTTGAGAATTTACCTCCGAAGTTTTGTGATGATCCTTTGGAGTATCCAGCCATGTGTGTCTTTGACTTTCTGCTTATCAGAGATGCTCAACACAATATTGACTTGATTGTTGGCGCTATCATTCCAAACAAGTCAACATACTGCGTTAATCCTAAAGTCCATAAAAATATGCATGAATTAGACGAAGGATTACCTAAAATGAGTGGATAATGGAGAGTTTGAGGTTTATTGGAGAAACAAGATGTCTTCACCTCATAAATATGTATGGCCATCATTAAAGTGATTGTTGGCGTACAAGCATCGCAATCGATGCAGTCTCAAGTAGAGCGTTGATCTCTATGCTTAATTCAAAGCTAGACATGGAGTTGGCTAAGTTTCATTTAGTTCTGGCATCAATAACTTCATATTGTAAGTTGAAGTTTTAGAGTCAACATAGAAAGATTACATGGAGAAGACTTGGTAAAAAGTTGAAACTTAGAAAGTGAGATTTAGTTCGACTACATTCTAAGTTCTCTTACTACGTGAAGAAGCTCTATGATAAGCTAACAAGATGTAATTTAAAACCTAGTGAGCATTGAGTACCTATTCTTTACTATAGCAATTCTTGCGCCATTTAGACTCGAGGACGAGTCTTTTTTAGGGGTGGGTGTCGATCGGTTATTATTAAAGTACGTTTCAGTTTATCGGTTTTCGGTTTTGTAATATTAATAACCAAATCAAACCAAAGTATTTACGGTTCGGTGCGGTTTTTTCAAAGTTCGGTTTCGGTTATTTTGCGTTTATTTTTTCGGTTTAAGTTGTAGAAACAACAAGTATTTACTGTTCGGCCAGCCTAACAAATTCTCAAATTGCTGACTTGCTGTTCGGCCAGCACAATGGCAAATTCTCAAACTGCTGACTTGCTGTTCGGCCAGCACAGTGGCAAAGACAGCCCAGCTGTCGCAAATACTTTACAAAATGAAGAGCAAACTACAAAGCTCGACAATAACACTAATTTGAAACAACACTATAAATGAAACCAAGGCACGTTGACAATTGATGTTGAAGAAAACTCTATTGAATTCTTGGACTGTACAAAGATGAGTCTTTAACAGAAAATTTAGAAGAAAATTTATATGGAGAACAAGCACAGTAGCACACAGACTAACATTAAAGTTCGACCATATAGTATAGAGAACAAGCACACAGACTAAATACCGCACATTTCAGCAGTGGCAAACTAGTCCAAAATAGTTTAACACAGTGGCGTATTTCAGCACATTTCAGAAGGCGCAGCAGTTGGCGACGACGAGTCGCAGCAGTCGGCGATGGCGAGTCGCAGCAGTTGCACAAGAAGAAGAAGTGAAGAACCCTAAATCTAATTTTAATTTTTGATTTACGTTTGGCCGTTTGGGAAATGGGAAGTGAGTAAGTGACTAAGTGTATTTTACTGATGTAGAGTATTGGGCTTTAGTGGTAATAACTATCAGTAAAGGTATTGGGCTTCGGCGGTTCAGCCTATAATGGGTAATAACTAATACCCAAAATTTCGGTTTTTTGGTTAAACCGAAAACCGAAACACCAAAACTGTTAACCGCACCGAAAAGCCGAAAATTAATAATTTAAAAACCGTGCACCGACCGAAAAATCGAAACCGAAAAACCGAAATTTACGGTTCGGCCGGTTTCTTCGGTTCGGCCGGTATTATGCCCACCCCTAGTCTTTTTCAACCAGGGGAGAATGATGCAAGGTCAAGAAGGCCTAGAATCCAAGAAATCAACTAGTCCAAAAATCCATTTAAGATTAGGATTTCTTTTCCATAAAGATTAGGATTTCTTATTTCCTCTTTTAGTAGATTATATTTGTAGTTCTGGTCAAACTAGGATTGTTAGTTGGTATTCCAATCCTACTAGAATTCCTTTTCCTATTTTAGTTAGAATAGGCTTTTCTTAACCTTATTCTTAGTCTAGTTCAATTAGGATTAGTTTTCCTTAACCTCCTCAATTTTACTCATTGTAAGGCCTCTATTTAAAGACTCAATATGCTGAAAATAAAGGTTGGTGATTAGTTTTTCTAAGCTCTGCGTTCAAAAACGTGATTTCTCTTTTGGTTGACTTGTCTTTCTTTATTCAACGCTTCTTGCAATCTTGCTGGATTAAAGAACGTGTGGGTAAGACTTTTTTCATTTTACATTCTTCTCACATGAGTTTGAAGAACGCTTTCGTTAGTTTTGTGAAAAACTTTAGCGAGGTGCTTTTTTCTCTTTTTTTGTGTGCTTGAGAGTTGCAAAACCTTGAAAGTACATCATTTCTGGTGATGTTCCTATTTCACTTCCTTTCCTCCATGGGGGTGCATAGGTTTAGAAGTTTCCTTTAACTGATAGGTCAATAGCAAGTTATTGTTAGTGGAGGTTTCTCCGCTTCTTGAGCAAATGGGATGAGAGGGAGGGCAATTTTGACAGTCAACTAAACCTTGGCTACAGGGCACGGGTGAGGATTATATATTATTTCCTGATATTGAGACTACGTCTATGACTGATTGTCACTAATCTACTGTTTCTAGGACTGTGTTGTGTTTTTTTTTCCTGCAAATTGGTCATAACAGAGATTAAGGTCTATGACTTTGCTTCAATTGATTGGCATCTAATTGATTTGAACTCCTAGTAACCACAAGTGACATCTATTTGTTGTATACGAATGATAAATAAACAAATATTTAAATTTTTCCCTTTTCAACTACGAAATCTTTTACAATAAACCCTTGTGGTCCGGCTCTTCTCCGGAAACCCCGCATAGCGGGAGTTTAGTGCGCCGGGCTGCCCTTTTATTTCACACAATTTAACATGGGACAGGAGTTGGTAGAGTCTTGGTTTGTGTCTTGGCTGTCACTCATTACCAAAAATTTCAGGTGCTTCCCCAAGAAAAGCCATCTGTCATGTTCATTAAGCGCATGTTTTAGACTAAACGAATTAGATTTCATAGAGTAATGTCCTTGTATATTTTTCTGTATAATAATGCTTTATTTGCAACTACATTCCAATCCTACTGGTTATGGGATGCCATTCAAAAAGTTGTCTAATTTACATTTTACTATGCAGTTGCTGAAATTTAAAATATACATGAGAACATGTGCTAATATGTGAAAATATTCTAGAGATATTCTAATCAATAAGAGGTAAAGATAGAATTCGCAACGACCTTATATCCTGGTATTTTTGGAGGTTTGTTTCTCCTGTTAACTCGTCTCTCCTGTTGTGTGAGAAAACAAGAAAATAGAAGGATAAATGATATATTGATGACTTGTTTATACAATATTTCATATTTTTATGTGTCAGTCACTTTTAACCCTTTAGTATTTTACTATGAGGGGTCGTTTGGTTGGAATACGATTTATACAGGTATAAGTTATGCCGGTATAAGTTATATTGGGATAAGTTATGCTGGGATTGTTGTTTATTCATTGTTTGTTATGTTGTATTAAGAATGACAATTGCATAATTTATAAGAAGAAAATATAAGTTATACCGGTGTTAATTACCCCCACCTTGTATAAGGTATAAATTATCCCAGTGTTAAAATTAACACCGGAATAACTTATACCTGGTTTGCTAACCAAACAGAGTATTAAGGTGGTATTAAATTTTTATACCACCCTTATACCTTCTTGTACCTCATACCAAACGACCCCTAATAGTCTAACACTACTGGACTATAGTAAAAGGAATGAGTATTCATATGCCGACGCCAACTTGTTTGGAATCAAGACATAGTTGTTGTTGTGTAGTCTAACACTACCACTAAAATTCTGACATGTTCCTTGAAGCAAGGTGGGCAAATCTACCTGAGTTTGCATACTCTGAAAACTCAAAAACAAGTGGTCAAACGAAAACTTGCCTAAGTATGTGTTTGGAAAGCTCCATGGAATTGGATTGTAATTATACAATTTAGCTTGTTTATTCAGCCAAGCACTTGGTCAACATTGAATTGGTTGTAATTAAAGGAGTGCAATTACACCTCCAACTCCCCCCCGGGGGGNGGGGGGGGGGGGGGGGAGGTCACTAATTGGTGGTAATTATATGCTGTAATTATTTTAGGTGACTTTTCTGATATATTTTTTGTTATTTTACAAATATAAATTACTCCTTAAAACTTTTAATTTTCTACTCTTTTTTTCTTGTTAAACATACTCCACATCTAATCATTAGTGCAAATATTTGTTTATAGATAATACTTTCACACACACACGCATATATATATATATATATATATATATATTGTATAATCATTTTAAAAATGAAATGAATTTTTAATTATTGATTACGTTCACATGAGTTGGTTGAAATTTTTTGAGTTGTAACTGGTTTTATTATCAATTAATTAGAACTAAAATTTATTCTTTCGAGAGATACCATTTGCTGTTTGCAATACTAGTTATTCAATTGTAATTCTTTTATATTTTCAATAGGAAATATGTATTAATTACCTAATAATAATGATGATCTAATATTTTTAGATTTAATTGTTTTGAAATATACCATTGGATGTTTGCAATATTAGTTATGCAATTATAATTATTTAATATATTTTTGACGGAAAATTGTATTTTATGTTACCTAGTAACAACAACATACCCAGTATTATCTCACACCGTGGGGTTTGAGGAGGGTAGTGTGTATGCAGACCTTACTGCTATCTTGTGAGGATAGAGAGCTGTTTCCAATAGACCCTTGGCTCAAGAAAGCATAAACACCACATTAATGAAAATATAGACAAGAAGGGACAACACCAAAAAAGCCATATAAAAGCAGAATAAAAGCAACAAGATAGTAAGGTGATCAACAATGAAAGAAAACAACAGTTAGTCATAAAAACCTACTACCAACAGAAAGTGAGACTGCATGCCAATACTACTGTTATGAACATTCTAGATTACCTACTCTACTACCCTAATCCTCGACCTCCATACCTTCCTACCTCTCCGTAGGCCCTCCAATGTTAACCTCTCACACCTCACCGGGGGCGGCTGTGCTCCTCCTCTTCACATTGCCAAACCACCTAAGCCGCGCTTCCCACATCTTGTCCTCAATAGGGGCCACACCCACCTTGTCGTGAGTAACCTCATTTCTAATCCTATCTAACCTGGTGTGCTCGCACATCATCTCAACATCCTCATCTCTGCTACCTTCATCTTCTGGACATGAGCGATCTTGACTGGCCAACACTCAGCCCCCATACAACATCGTCAGTCTGACCATCACTCTATAGAACTTACCTTTAAGTTTCGCACCTTCTTGTCACACAAAACACCAGAAACGAATCTCCATTTCATCCATCCCGCCCCAATACGATGTGTGACATCTTCATCAATCTCCCTATCCCCTCAATAATAGACACTTAAAACTTCCTCTCCTAGGAATGACCTGCGAGTCCAGCCTCACCTCCCCTTCCCCCCCTTGAGTCTCACCACTGAGCTTACACTCCAAGTATTCTGTCTAGTAAATAATTTAATATTTCTTAGATACACATATATTTGTCAGCCGTTGAAGCTCATTTATTTTTTCATATTAGAAAACATATTTAATTTTTAAAAGATTAATATCCAGTTTTAATTAAAAATCTCTAGTTATGCAATTACCACTGTAACATGTTGGTAGTAACAATGTAATTATGTTATTGTAAACAAACAAGTCATTGAATTTACGAAGTTGTGTAATTACTACATTGTGTAACTACTAGGTGTTTAAACTCACGCTGTCAAAAAACCTGCTTGAAAGTATTTGTAAATATTCTGATCATTGGAATCTCATAGTAAAAGTTGCCGGAACGATCGGAGAGAAGTGGTAGCGCTGGCATAGCCATCAGAAAAGAGGTGCTGTGCTGTAGGAGCAATTTTTGAAAAAGAGGTTTAATGTTGTTGGACAATCACCGTAAATATGCAACATGTGGCCGAAAAGGTCACTAGAAATAGGGAAGAATGGTAGATTATGGCTGGACAAGGTGTGGCCTGAACGTCCACGAGAAAGAAGGGCAAAAAAGGAAATTATGAAAAGAAATAAAATTTGATCCGGCAAACATAATCCTACCTATACCGGTAGGCAAAAGTTACATAAGCCTCGACTAGAATTGTAAATGCTTTGGTACCATGTAACATAGAGATGACTTAATCATGCAAGATACTTATTTATAGGTGTCAAACAAGATACACATGATATTTGTTCAACGTGGGACAATATCTAATTTAAAACACAAATGCTAATACTGAACATTCTATTAGTGATTGTATAATGGCTGATGGTACCCTCTTTAATATCTGGAGTACTTTTGGTTTGTGATATTACAATGTTATTTGCAATTTACTCAAAATTTCTGCTGAAACCTGAGTGGCGGAAAGCGACAAAAATGTTGTGGTTTGCTTTTGTTGATTCGGGGCTTCTTGCTATGCTACAACACTATGTAAATCCATTTTGATTAGTAATATATACAAACAGAAAGATACCGGCCATCCTTGTTCATAGTGGTGGGAAGTTCTCTCGAAACTACTTGGTCAAGGGTTCAAGGCTAGTAAACGGTTAAAAAAAAAAAAAAAAAAAAAAAAAAATACAAACAGAATGATAGATCCATTTATCTATACTATCCGATTTGGATTTTGATATCTAAAAAAGAATCGATTTCATTCAATGTTTGATTCAAAGAACTGCGCTTAGCGCACACTCGGGCTCATGGAACGGCTCTGCTGCAATGGATGGCAGAGGGTCTGTAGTACCCAAAGCACTGGAGTGATCCAGTAGCGGGGAAGGGGCCTAGAAGTGCCTACTACTAGACCATACTACACTTGGCTCTACACATATACACGCCTGCTTCTTCTGAATTAAAGGTGGACTTGAGAAGGTAAGGCAGTGTTTAGTAGCTACCTTGCCAAGTTCTTGTAGCGGTCACTATGGTATCTTTCGTAGGAAGGCTGGAACTCGCTTAAAACATGAAGCTTTATGGGCTAGAAACACCAATAGGCCTTACCATCTAGGTTTATTTTGTCATTTTGTGAAGCAAACATTTTTTGCTGGGTTTTTGTTAGGATTTCATACGGTTAAGTCTTTCTAAGTATCCTGTGTTATAGTGTTTCTGTAGATCAAATGGCTTGAGCCTTCAACTTTCAGAACTTTAAGGTGATCTGGATATTGTGATTCTTTACTTATTTAGGAGAAGAATTGAAAAGCTTTGATTCATCTTTGTTCTCTTTGTTTCTTCTGTGAATTCTCCTTGACTTGTTGCAAAGGGCATAAATTCATGTTGATTTCCATATATCTTATAATTTTTTTTCGATAAGTACTTGATACTTTATACTAGAGGAAAAAATAAACTGCACAAATCTCATCNAAAAAAGAAACTGCACAAATCTCATCCAATCATCTAGGATTCTACAGAAATTGAAGACTTTTGTGTGCTCTAGCAATATATGTGGAATAGCAGTATGTCATAATGTGCAGCATGAGTTTCTTCACTCTGAAGGCCCTCCTTTTCCTTCTTTTTCCCGCATTCAAGATATCCTTTATCTGCCTAGTCTTTGTATTTGTCGGTTAATATCAGTTCTACCATTTTTTATGAGATCGTTTCTACCGTATGCCACCTGCAGGAATGAAACTCATGAAGTAATCAAGTACCTGGAGTATTGTGTTCATCGTTTACAAAATGAGGATCCTGGCGTTCACAATCTGTTACTTTCCTTATACGCCAAAAAGGTTCAAGTTATTTAGCTTTTGCAATGCTCATCTGGTCTCATATGTGCATGCGGGATTTATCCATCTTTCCATTTTCTTTGAGATTTTTTTAAATATGCAAATAATAACCCATCCACGATATCTTCGAATGCTCTGTCTGCATCTAATTTTACGCATTTACAGTTTATAATCTTTCACATTCATCTTTCTTTCCTTTTTCTGTTGCAAACGTGAAGAAACCACGGAAAAATTTAAGCATTATGTTAATATTCCTATCTATAGCTATTCATCTTGAAAAATTATTTTTTATTTCATTTTGTTCATTCATAGTTTATTTAAATTTATAAAAGGTAGCTTACACTTCACCGTAACAAGATAAACAAATGTTACTTGCACGAACTGGGAGAAATCAGGACTGCTTTGTTTACATGATCTGCTTTATACTGTGATGCTGCTTAATTATTTTTCTGTTCAACACATTTTACAAGTTATACTTTGCAAGAATTGGGAGAACTCAGGACTTCTTTATGTGCTCTGCTTTTTCTTCTGTACCGCGTAATTAGTTATAACTTGGTATTTCTTCGTCAGAGGAGTGTTGGATTATCTTAGTCCCTGAAGCAAATTAATTCCAAGCCAAAAGAAGTTGGCCAATGGAGAATTGACACAAGGAATCAGGGCCTACCTCCATTTATAGGAAAGGGGCACATATTATATAGGTCTATTTTGCTTTGGGGTAAATTTTGATCTTTTATCATGTAAATGTGAATATAAGTCATTAACCATAGCTTTCAGGAGAATCAGGAATGCCTTTGTGCACTCAACAACTTGCTAGATGTCTATTTGCATGCTTGTCAAGCAGAAATATGCCTTGTGCCTTATTTTTCTCACTCACTTTTTTCTTTGCAAGTAGGAAGATGAGAGTGCTCTTCTGCGTTTCCTAGAATGCAAGGTTGGTAAAGGGCAGCCAGGTGGCCCTGAATTCTTTTATGATCCCAAATATGCGCTTCGCCTTTGCCTCAAGGAAAAGAGAATGCGAGCTTGTGTTCATATATACAGCATGATGTCTATGCATGAAGAAGCAGTTGCTCTAGCACTACAGGTTCTGTTTCAATACTGATTGCTCTTTGTGTTTGCTGGTAGTCTAATGGTTCTTTTAACCTTCCTGCTTATATTCTGCAATTTATGACTACATTAACTATTAAATTAGCTGATTCCGCATAGTGGAAAATTAGCTTAAAAAGAGCTAGTTGATTTGTCATCAACAACAACAACCAACCAGTAGTTTCTCACAAGTGGGTCTAGGGAGGGTAAGATGTACGTAGCCTTACCCCTACTCCTGGAAGAGCAGAGAGGCTGTTTCTGATAGACCCTCGGCTAGAGAACAACCGAAAAAGAAAAGGTAATTGCAACAAGTAGGAATAACAACAAGATAAAATAAGATCGAATCCAAGAATGCAGTTAAACTGTAGGTATTAATAGCAATCTATGAATAAAAGGATATCTAATGCTAGCGAACTGAGTAAGACAAAGAGAAACGCTCGACTACCTACGAACCTTCTACCATATCTTTGACCTCCACACCCTCTTGTCTAGGGCCATGTCCTCAGTCAGCTTCAGCTGCGCCATGTCCCGCTTAATAATCTCTCCCCAAGACTTCTTAGGCCTACCTCTACTCTTCCTACCAACCACTGAGGCTAACCTCTCGCACCTTCTAACTGGTGCTTCTGTATTTCTCCTCTTAACATGTCCGAACCATCTCAACCTCGCCTCCCGCATCTCATCCTCCACAAGAGCCACTCCTACCTTTTCCCGAATAACTTCATTCCTAATCTTATCCAACCGGGTATGCCCACACATCCACCTTAACATCCTCATCTCAGCTACTTTTAACTTCTGGGTATAAGAGTTCTTGACCGGCCAACACTCTGCTCCATATAACATAGTCGGTCTAACTACAACTTTATAGAACTTACGTTTAAGTCTCAGCAGCACATTCTTATCACACAAGATACCGGAAGCGAGTCTCCGCTTCATCCATCCTGCTCCGATACGATGCGTAATATCTTCATCAATCTCCCTGTTACCTTGTATTATAGATCCAAGGTACTTAAAACTACCTTTCTTGGGGATGACTTGCGTGTCAAGCCTCACCTCCTTATCCTTTTCCTGGGTACCATTGCTGAACTTGCACTCCAAGTATTCCGTCTTTGTCCTGCTCAATTTGGTCCTTCAGCCTCTCGTTAACACCACCCTGCGTCTCGTCAATTAAGACTATGCCATCAGCAAATAACATACACCATGACACCTCACCTTGAATGTGCCTCGTCAATGCGTCCAACGAAAATAGAAATGAACTAAGAGCTGATCCCTTGTGCAATCCCATCACAACCGGAAAGTGTTCCGAGTCTACTCCCTCTGTCCTAACCCAAGTCTTAGCTCCATCATACATGTTCTTAATCACCCTAATGTAAGCTACTAGCACCCCTTTAGCCTCCGAGCATCGCTAGAGCACCTCTCTCGGGACTTTGTCATATGTGCAAGTCCTTCTTCATCTCTATACCGTTCTACCAATCTCCTCACAAGGTGAATGGATTCCATAGTCGAACGCTCCGGCATGAAACCGAACTGGTTCTCAGAAATGGACACACTGGTCCTCACCCTCACTTCAACCATCCTTTCCCAAATTTTCATCATATGTCTAAGCAACCCCTTATAGTTATTGAAACTTCGGATATCTCCCTTGTTTTTATATAGCGAGATCATCGTACTCCACCTCCATTCATCGGGCATCTTCTTCGTCATAAAAATGACGTTGAACGGCTTAGTGAGCCACTCTAAACCTGCCCTACCCGCATTATTCCAAAATTCCATAAGGATTTCATCTGGCTCAGTAGCTCTACCCTTGTGCATCTTACGCAGAGCTCCCTCGACCTTCTCTACTCTTATGCGCCTACAATACCCGAAATCCTGGCGCATCTCGGAGTGCTCCAAGTCGCCCAGCACGATGTCCCTATCACCCTCTACCATCTTCGTCTAATCTGAGCCTCTTTCATCAAAACTCTACCTTCTATCTTTGATACACTTTACTTGATCTAGATAATAGGCCTTCCTCTCTCTCACCTTGGCTAGTCTGTATAGCTTCTTGTCCTTGCCTTTGGCCCCAAGCTATTCGTACAAACGCCCAAATGCCGCAGTTTTAGCTATAGTAACCGCTAACTTCGCCNCAACTCCTGCACTTTGTCATTAGTCAAAGCACCCCACCTGATTCTGGGTTGACCATACACAACCCTCTTCTTCCTCTTCCTCACGATCTCTAAGTCCATCACCAATAACCTATGTTGAGTCGTGAGATTCTCACTTGGTATAACCTTGCAACCCCACCTCTCGCTGGAATGTGACCAAGTGCTCCTCCCTCTTCGGAAAACACGAGTTAGCAATCACAAAATCAAAGGCTTTAGGATAGTCCAACAACGAAGTACCTCCCCCGTTCCTAAATCCAAAGCCAAAGTCAAAGCCACCATGCACAGCGTCATAACCCCTAGAGGTCGCCGCAATGTGACCATTGAAATCACCTCCTATGCTTAACCCACTTGAGGCGCGTAAGCACTAATCACGTTTAAAGTAGACTTTTCCGCAACCAGCTTAATAGCCATCAGCCTGTCGATCACCCTCCTAATCTATGTTGCTCGGACTCTCCAAAAATATTGCCGCACCCGTGTCGGATCCTCCAAAAATGCACTACTTTTGGAGGATCCGACATGCACCCGTCAACATTTTTGAAGAGTCCGAGCAACATAGCTCCTAACTTATACCACTAGCTCCCTAAGTTCCCTGTCAACCAAGATACCTACCCTATTCTTACCCCTCTCGCGTCTTGAGTACCACAATTTAAACCTATCAGCATCTCGCGCCTTCGAACCCACTCATCTTGTCTCGTGAACACAAGCTATGGTGATCTTCCTCTTCTGGAGGATCTTTGCTAACTCTATAGACTTCCCCGTCAAAATACCTATATTCCGGGACC